ACAGAAAAGATTTAAAATCAATGCATTTTTAATAGTCTTTACAAATTTATGTTGTTGGTTTCCAATTTCTTTTTTAGGAATTTATAGTTCAATATTTAAATTAACTATAAAAAAAGATTTATATGTTTCAATAATTATCATTATTTTACCATTAAATTCACTTATTAATCCATTATTGTATACGCTTCGAGATCTTAAATCTTATTATAATTCATTAAAACAGCAAAAAGCTAAGAAAATGTATCAATTCATTTATTTTTTATTCTTCCCCTTTAAACAATCTTCTACAATCTATTTCAACATTTTCAGACAAAATCATATTAATGATATTAAAGAATCTTTTGCATCAAGATGTAAAAACTTGATTGAAAAATACAACATTCTGTAATGAAATCTCTCTTTTTCTTTTCAGATTTAGCCTATTTGGTATACAATGAAAACTTTTTAAATAAAATTAATTCATTAATCTGTGTTGAAAGTTTAAAAAACATGAAAAAGTTTTATAGAATGATGAATATATTTAAAATGTTGAAAGATATTTTAAAACTTGTTTGTAAATGTCATCAGTCTAGTTTGTCTTTTAATGGATCAATTGATGTATCGAATTTGTATCTTATTGTAAACAATTATAAATCTATTTATAGATATTTTTGAATAAGTTTGTTTCTTTTTTTTTATATTCATGTCAAAACAGAGTGGAAAAACTGGAAAAATCTATTCAATAACATCAAAGTGTATTCTGTATGCAGGAAATAATGAAGAAATGTTTCAAAAAGATTTATTTAATATTGGAAATTTAATTAAAAAAATCTTACAAAAGAGAAATAAATTTCTATAATAATTATTCCGATTATAGGCTTAATTTGTGTGTTAAAATTCTAATTGAAAATCAGTTAATTAGGTTATTGATGCTGTATTGCAGATAGTATAATTAGTTGGGAAACAGTTTCCGGAGAGGTGTTCAAGTGCAATAGAAGAAAACAATTATCCTTAAACTATAACCTATAGTAGATTATTATTACTATGACAACTTTATAAGATTTTGTTTTTCGCTCATAGCACGAAATTCCTAAGAATTTCGTATAAATTTTATTTGATATTCTTTTGGTCTCTCACACCGTTCTATTACATTCACTCCCTTTTATACTTTGTTAGTGTCACTTAATTGGGTGTTTGACTGTGCTCATCTGTATTGCCACATTCATGCCACGTTCATGCCACGTCATTATCAACGATGTGGCATAACATCAAGTTGGACTGTCCCGACTCTGGGCTAAGTCAAACTCCCTTCTTAAGTGACTCTCAGACACTGACACTCGCACACTAACACACATTCACTCATATCATGTAATGTGAACGGAACGTTAGTATATAACGTTCTGTTTACTCTCCCATGAACAGTAGTTCTCCCGCAGCCCTGATAAGCGGGCCCCTTGCTGTATTCAACTTGCACTTTCTCGTGGCTCCATCATGACTAGGTATGATTTCTGTTAATACTCCAGTCACCCATCTATGCCTAGCCTTTTGTTTGTCAGTGACTAGGACCTTGTCTCCGACTTGCAGCTTTCTTCCTCCCTTCGTTCTCCACTGTTGTCTGACCAGCTCTTGCAGGTAGATCCTTTTCCATTGTCGCTGTATCTCGTTCCAACGCTTCTGACTCCATTTGCTTTCATTCCAACGTAGCTCCCGTTGTCTCTTCTTTAGTAAATTGGGTGTTACCAATATCTGGTCAGGGTCATCTAGCGGCTGCTGTAATGGCTTATCGTTTATTACCTTCTCTACTAGCGACCACAGTGTCTGCCATTTCTGGTGAGACCAGCAATTGTGTAGATATGGTTTGGCCAAATATTTAGCTGCCTTAACTGCTACCTCCCACACGCCTCCTTGGTAGGGCGCCTTTGGTGCCGTGAATTGCCAATCGATTTGGTTTTTTTCCTGAGCCATAGCCTTAAAGGTCCTATAATTGTCAGAGATTATTAAGGATGGTCTCCTCTCCCTTGCCCATGCTCTTTCCAATGCCAGCTTGGTGGAGTTTGTGTCTAGACCCTCTGTTACCTCCAGCTGTACAGTTTTACTCTGCAGACATATAAGTAGCAATACATAGAGCTTGCCGCCTTGTTTGAGCTTAAAGGGGCCAAAATGGTCGATGCCAATATATTTAAATATTTCTAGGTCATTTTCAATTTGAAAGGAGTACGGCTTGTTGCCGTAATAACGGATTGTAGATCTATACCTCCTGCACTGATCACATTCTGCAATGACTTGTCTTATGGTAGCTACCTCGTTCAGTACCCAATAGGTCTCTCTTAAGATTACTCTCATTCTAGCCAGGGGGGCGTGGCAGTTTTCCTCATGAATCCTTTTCACCATCAATTTTCCAATCGTCGACTTTCCATCCAAGATCCTAGGGTTCTCAAGGTAGCTCTCCTTCTTCCCCAGTCGTCTGAGTTGGATTCTCATTCTGTCCTGTCCCCTTGTTATCGCATATTTTGCCAGTCTTTTTGGGTCTATCTCCATTTGAGCTTCACATATGGCTTTCTCTACTTCCAGGTTGACGTCATTTACATTGGTCAGCTCCTTCCCCGCTCTCTGGGATAGGAACTTTGCAAAGTCCTGCTCATTATTGGCTGGTTTTTTCAGCAACAGTACCTTGCATGGCTGTCCTTGTTGTGTCATTGTTATTTCTCTCTTTGCCCATTTGTCATACCTTTCCTGGTTGAATTTTACTGGTATTTTAGTTAACCAATCTGCTGGGTTATTTTCGCTCTTCACATGGTGCCACTGATCTGGGTCTGTGTACTGCCGTATCTCCAGCACCCTTGTTCGTGCGTACTTTTCCATCGGGATTTTGTCATTCTTGATGTACCTCAGTACCACTTCCGAGTCTGTCATAAATAGGGCAGGCCTTCTCGCCACCCCTTTGCTCACCTCCAGTGCCAATCTCACCCCTTGTAATGCTGCAGCCAGCTCACGCCTTGGCGTTGTTTTCATGGCTGGTCTAACCATCAAGGCCTTTGACCTCATTATCATTTCGGTTCCATTAGCATATGAGTAGATTGCAACTCCCAACGTTGTATCTGAGGCGTCCGTGTAGATGTGGTACCCTTTGGAGCTCCCGGCGTAGCAAGCTATATTTAATTGTCTAGGCAACCTGGCTACAATTGTGTTCCAGTCTCTTCTCTTCTCTTCCGGTATTTCCTCTTTCCAATGGCTCATGCCTTTGCTGAGTTGTGAAAATGTGAGCCTTAATTTGCTCATCACAATGTTTATTAATCCAAGGGGATCATAAATGCTTGCCACTGCCCCTAACATGTCTCTCCAAGTAGCCTTGAGCTCTAATGTCTTCTTCTGTATTATCCAATACAGTTTATCCTCTTTTCCTTCATATTTAATGCCCAACACCTTTTCTGGGTAATCATAAATTCTCCTTTCAGGTGGGATGGTCTTTCTAATTTCTATCGAGTTCGTCGCCAGCTTTGTAAGCGTGAAGTAGCTATCGAGAGCCTTCAACACCTTCCCTAACACTTCCCTTAGGTAATCTTCGTCATTGGATGCCAATATAAGGTCGTCCACATAAAACTTCTTGTTATCTCTTCCCTCTCCTCTCTTGACAAGCGAGAGGCCTTCAACACCTTTCTCAGGGTTGCTGATACTACGTAAGGACTATCTTTTGCCCCAAATACATGTCTTGTCATGAGATACTCTACTATATTGCCTCTTGACTTTGGCTTTCCAGGGGGCCAGTAAAGTAGACCAAAGTACTGTTGATCCACTTCTTTAAGGTTTACTTGGTGGAACATCGCTTTTATGTCTCCTATTAGATAGTGCTTCCCACTCCTCCAATTTGTCAATGTAAGAAGGTATGTCTCCCACTAACCTCCCGCCTGTTGATATTGTATCATTAATGCTCAGCCCATAGTATTTTGCTGCGCAATCATATACTATTCGCAATCCTTTCTTATTCGGATTCGCTACGCCGTGATGTGGTATGAACCATTTTATTATGTCCTTTTCTCCCTTTCTTCTTGCGTAACCCTTGTTTATATAGTCCATGATGCCTTCATCATATTGTTCCTCATACTGTTTATCTCTTGTGAACCTTTTTTGTAGGCCCTCCAACCTTTTGTATGCCATATATCTGTTACACCGCAGCTCCTTCTCATCACCATTGAACAGAATGGGGGCGTATACCTTTCCATCTTTGAAGGATATGTTCTTATCCAACTTTTCTACCCATTCTTCATCTCTTAGAGTTAGCTTTTGTTCCTTTGAGCTATCCCCCTTTAATATCAAAGATACTTTTGCCTGCCTCCCTTTTTCTAATTTCCATCCTGTTATTGACCATCCTAGTTTTGAAAGCATGGCAATTGGCTCATTCACATCTCCTTCCAATATTGTCCTGGGTGCGATCAAGTCTGCATAGTCGCATCCTAACAGCAGGTCTACTTGTCTGCGTTCCAGTTGCGGGATGGGGATGTCCTTTAAATATGGCCATCTCTTTCGTTCCTCTGTCGTTATAGCATTTTGGCTTATTACGGCGATCTCCGGGTATTCTAAAGCTTCCAGGCATCTTCCCTTGATTTCAAACTCATACCTCATAGCCTTGTGTTTCTCTACTCTCCCCATCATTGCAAGTTCGATTTCCACTATCTCTATAGGCCTCGCATTTATTCTTTTTGCTGCTTTCTCCGTGATGATTGACATGTCCGCTCCAGTATCCTGTATTATTACTAGGTTACCCTTTTTGGCAGGCAGTTCCAATGCAGTCATCCCATGCTCTTTCTCGATTCTCGGGGCCTTTACCATCATGACCTTTGGGGCGACCTTCTTTTGACAATGATGCAAGAAGTAACTTTTTGCTGCCCTGCATGTCCTACATTTCAATTTCCAGCATTCGGCTACGTTATGGCTGTTCGTCATACAATTATCGCAAAGTCCCAATTTTTTCACAAGCCTGTTACGACCCTCTATATCCATTCTCTTGAATTGTGGGCAATTTCTCAAGAGATGCGTTTTTCGCACGAGTAGCACCCTTGCTCCCTTTTCTTTCCATCGTCGTGTTCGTTTCTACTCTCAGTAGTCACCCTCTTTTGCTGGCCTATCGCTCTTGCCAGTCCTTGGTGTTGGGCCTCCATAAATGATATCATATCTGCCATGGATAGGCTCATTTTTGCTCTTGTTTGCTCACTATTCCATTCAGCTCTCAACTGAGCACTCATATTGAATTTACTGATAACCACAAGCATTGCTTCCAATTGTCCATTATCTAAGTCATTCCGGTCCTCGTAGTCTCCATACACCTCTGTCAGGATCTGGGATAGTTCCTCTAACTGATAGATATTGCCATCTTTTATTCTGCCCAACCTTTCCAATCTTGTAAACGCATCAGTACACTTGCTTTTTACCTCACCGTATCGTAGCCTAAGGAATTTCATCACGCTCTTGTAGCCTTCCTTGGGTGAGTATCTGAATCTTCTAATATCTTTCTTCACATCGTTACTTAGTTGAGTATACAGCAGTTCAAATTTCTCCCATTCCTCAACCTCGCCATACCTAGCCAGAATGCTTTCGTGCCTTACTATAAAACCTTCAAACATTTTGGGCTCTCCTTCGAACAGAATTGTGGTATTCGGGATTATACTTTCTCTTCTTTCTGTTTTTGCTGGCGTACCCATTCTTTGCTCGCTTGTCATCTTTGCCATTTGGGCCTCTAGCCTTTCCATTTTTTCCTGGACCATCTCCAATTTTTCATGTAATTTGTTATTTTCCTTTCTTGTCTCTGCTTCCATGCTTTCTACTCTACTGCTTATAGTAGCTTTCACCAACACAGACAACTGATGATCTCTTTCTTCCAGCTCTTCCTTTAGCCTGTTCTCTTTCTCATTTTGTCTGGCTTCGAATCGAGCTGTCTCATCTTTTCTCACTCTTCTTTCCATTTCTATCATTTCGCCTAACTCAGCCAATACATTCTCCTTTTCTCCCATCCACCATCCTTCTCTATTCATGTCATATGGGAGAGTATCATCCCCTCTCGGGGTAGTATCAACTTCGTCATTGTCACTGTCCTCTACCATTTTATCAAAAACGCTTACGCTTTGCCTTTCTGCCCGGCTTTGTGTGTCTGGCCTAATGGGTTTCTTTTTTCCATCCTTTGCCTGCTCAGCTGCCATTTCTATACTGTCTTCATCATTTATGCTTCCATGCATCTCTCTCTTTCTCTTTCCTGAGGAAGTGTTTCTCTCACTAGAGCAACTGCTACTTCTTGAACTATTCTTTTCAAACACGCTTCCAGCTGCTCCTATATATATATTTTTGATGTCAGCTTCGACATCTTCTTTCTCAATATCATCCCTCACATTCATTCCTTGTGGGTATTCGACTTTGGGTGAGTAACCCTGTTCAACTGTCTTAAGATATTTCTTTATTTTTCTTCTGGTTTCTGCTACTCGGTCTTCCATTTCTTCAGTGAATGACTCTTGCCACTCATCCAGCAACTTCTCTGCTGTGAAGCATCTCATCTTAATCAGACCTCTTGTGTAGCGTCCATCTTCCAGACCTCTCTTGGTGTGTCCCATACACCTGTTCACTGTTTCCAGCTTCTGTGCCACATTCATCTTTTGTGGGTTCCTTGCCATCACTAGTTGTTCCAGAACCAAATAAAATTTATACTTTATAAGATTTTGTTTTTCGCTTATAGCACGAAATTCCTAAGAATTTCGTATAAATTTTATTTGATATTCTTTTGGTCTCTCACACCGTTCTATTACATTCACTCCCTTTTATACTTTGTTAGTGTCACTTAATTGGGTGTTTGACTGTGCTCATCTGTATTGCCACATTCATGCCACGTTCATGCCACGTCGTTATCAACGATGTGGCATAACATCAAGTTGGACTGTCCCGACTCTGGGCTAAGTCAAACTCCCTTCTTAAGTGACGCTCAGACACTGACACTCGCACACTAACACACATTCACTCATATCATGTAATGTGAACGGAACGTTAGTATATAACGTTCTGTTTAGTCCTTATAATGAAAGTTATAAAATAATGGATACTTGCTATCTTATTATACATTCACCTCTTCCTATCAGTCATAATCAAGTTAAGAATGAATGTGACAAAAGAAACTATACAACAATTGATGAATTTCCCGTATTGGACACAGTTTTTTGGGATATTATGCTTAAGCTTCAAGAAATTAAACTTCATGAAATTAATAGATATTCTTTAATTAATAGAAATCTTATAAGTACCAGTTTGTATTACATTTTAATAATGAAAACAATTCTTGTTTTTTTGATATTTCGCAATCTTCCGTAGTGTTTCATACTGAAAAAATTGCTGGAAAGGATGCTGTTAGATTATCGCCATCAAAATGACCACTAAATTTTATAAGTCAACTTTTATCAAATATAGTAAGTTGATAACAAAAGTTTAACTTCTCTCTCTCTCTCATACATTCATTATTAAAATTCAGACAGAGTACGAAGATAAACGTCTTTTTCCTGCAGATTCTGCATATTTCCTTCTCCTTTCTCATAGACAAAACTTTTACAATTTGAATCAAGACTGTCTCTATTTCGAATTTTTAGATATAACAAATTCATTTACAAAAGCTCGTCTAATAACTTCAACATCTTGTAAAAAGAAAGATATTTATCTATTCATATGTCAAAAATTACTTAGTAATTGATTCAAATTGATATACAGTATATATAAATATAATAATTAAATGATTATCTCTATTATCTCTAATAGAAAATGAAATTTATCCGCCATTCAACAAGTTCCTATCTGTTCAAAATTTTACTCTATGTACATTGCCAAGTTTCTTTTGCCAAAACGATGGAATATGTATAGCAGGTGTATATCGTTGCGATGGAGAGATTGATTGTCCATCAAGAGAAGACGAAGAAAACTGTAATAGAATCCAATACTATTTTTGTAATAATGGATCAGGGAAGATACCATTTCAATTGGTTTGCGATTTTAAATACGATTGTTTAGATAAATCAGACGAAGAGCTTTGCGGTTAAATATGAATAATAGTACTAAAAGTTGTTGCATTAAATTAATAATACTGTTTGTTTTCTTCAAATATGCAGAAAGAGATTTTTGCCCAGATAATTTACAGTTTCTATCATTTTCTCTCTGTTTATATTCTTTATACTGTATATGAAATGAAATCAACTTTTAAACAGATGCGGAAATCATCAATGTTTAAATGATACCCAACAATACTGCGATAATGAATATAATTGTATTGATTTAACTGATGAGAATTGTGAAATTCGATTAGATGAGGAAACTAATTTGGAGATTCTTGATAATTATCTCTATAGTATATAATAGAACGTTATCAATTCTTTTGTTTTTTTTAATTGATAATAGATTTTTCCGTTGATTTCCAATGTAGATTGTTCCGGTAGTTATCAATTCATTTGCGACGATAAATGCCATAGTAAAACTTTTCAATGCGACTTTCAAAATCATTGCTGGGATAGTAGTGACGAACCGCTAGAGTACTGTTTCAGCTATTTAATCGATAGAAATAAGAAATGGTTCTAACTATATAATAATGTAGTAGTATTGCTAATTATTATATTTATCCTACATAATTTAGGCCAACTCGCAATCAACTGTTCAGAGCGAAAAAGACTAGATGTAGGGTTCTGTACAATTCTAAAGGTAACTTGGAGACAAAAGTACACTTTCCTTTTGGCGATTTAAGTAATTGTAATATGGAAAATTTATGTAAACCTGGTGAATTTTTCTGTAAACACTTTAAATATTGTATATCCGTTGAACAAGTATGTGATGGTATAAATCATTGTTCTCACGGAGAAGATGAAAGTGATTGCGGTAATTAAAAGATATTAATAAAACAATTAGTGAATACTGTATATTTGTATATCGTTTAATAAAAGAGAATTTTCTACCTTACGGATATTTTAAATGTAAAAATCAAAAGAAATTCATAAATATCACTCAAGTTTGTAATAGTATCATTAATTGTATAGAAGGTAGCGATGAATTATTTTGTTCGAATGAAGCCAATTGCCCAATTGGTTGTAGTTGTTCTATACTTTATATACTTGATTGTATCCTCCCAATAAAGATGAATTATGAAATTTTAACAATACATTCATCATCAAGATATAAGCAGTTGAATATAAAAAATACCGAATTATCATTTCAAGGAGTGAAATTCAATAGTATTGCTATTTTATCAATTGAAAATTGTCTTTTTAAACAGTTTGTACTATCATCAATATTTGTTAATTTAATATCTTTAAATCTAAGACATAGCTTTCTAACAAATGTTAGTTTTCTTGAAAATTGGAAAATGAATAATCTGCAATATTTAGATTTATCATTTAATCCTTTAAATATACCTTTAAATTTTACTTTTAGTATTTATTTAAATTTATTATACCTTGATATTTCAAGTACAAAAATTTCAATATTTTCTAAATATATCTTTAAAAATTTAACAAAATTGAAAAGTTTAACTTTTCACAATTGTTTTATAAAATATTTAGATGAAATTGCATTTAAATCATTTGGAAAATTAAGGAAACTTTTAATGAATAATACAATTTTTCCATCTGAAAGAGGAATATACGCCATTAAATATCTATATAAAATCGAAAAGATCATTGGAAATTATTATAAATTATGTTGTTTGATGTGGAAATATTATGGAAATTCTGGAAATTGTGTTCCAAATAAATCAATGTTAAATACCTGTTCAAATTTATTGGGTAATAAGCTTATTCAAACGGCAGTATGGATAATTGGAATATTAGGCTTTTTTGGAAATATATTTTCCCTATCCTATAGAATATTGAAAATGACAAAATTAAGGAATTCTTTTGAAATCTTTTTAACTATAGGAGATTTTATGACGTCATGCTATTTTATTGCAATTGGAATTGCGGATTTTTATTTTAGGGGAAATTTTATAATACACGACGAAGAATGGAGATTTGGTATAACATGTAAAATTATCGGTGGTGTCTTTAATACTGCACTATTACTTTCTGCAATAAATCTACTTTTACTAAGTGTTGAAAGACACCGTGCAATAAAACATCCAATAACACATCATATGTCAATCAAATCGATAATTATAGTATGCCTATGTTCTGTATGCTTTTCAGTAATAGTTGGTAATTTACCGCATTATTTATATTCGGTAAAATGAAATATATCCTAATTAATTAATTAATTAACTAATTAACTAATTACTAAAATTGTTTCAACCAAAAGAGTTATTTTTCCCAAAATCCTATCTGTTTTAAAATTCATATAAGAAGCGATAGATCGGAGGGATGGTTATATTCATTCGTCGTATTCGGAATGTTTATGTTCATTTTATCATTGTTGGTTATTATTCTATATTTGGATATTTTAAGAATAGTTCGAGCAAGTAGATTAAAGTTTAACAGTTTAACAGTGTTAAACATAGCAAAAATACCACAAATAACTCGATTACAATTTAACAATTTACGTAATAATCTTAACAAATGTACTTTGTTGGTTTCCTATAACATTAGTTGGTAAATAGAAGAAAGGATTAATGGATTCGACGGAAAACGTCCGTATTTAACCCTAACCATAACCTTAAAATATAATAGACGTTTTCCAGTCGACTTCAATGATACAGTCTATATATCGTAGTTAATATAATATACGGTTTCTATTTCATTAAGGATTCTATTCCGTGATATTTAAATTAATAATTAATAATGATGTATACATTTGGTTTGTTACTGTCCTTGTTCCAATAAATTGCGTCCTTAATCCATTTATATATTCATTTGGTGGAGTATTAAGAGAATATAGAAAAAGGAAGCAAAAATCAAAAATTCAAAGGTATTATATAACCTCTTTTATATGAAATTAACAATATTCTATATTTATTTTTTTAATAGATTAAAGCATTTCGAAGATTTTCAATCAACTTTAACGGCAAATTGTTAATTATTTCCATTATTGTATTAAATGTTTTCTTTTGAAAGAAATCGTTTGTTTCTTTCTCACAGTTATAGAATTTCTAAAGAATTACGATAATAATTTTATTCTAATTAAACCAAATACGAATATATCAAACTATATGGAATTCAATTTAGAATTTTATGAAAATTTGACCTATTTCTATTGTATTAAACAATTAACAACGGCTCTAAAATATTGCCATAAACATAAATTATCTATGAATGGAAAATTCTCAAAAGATATGATTTATAAAGCGGTTTGTATTCTATAAACATAGATTATATCTGTTTTTTCTTTATTCAATTAAATAAATAACATTTAGAAGTCAAGGTCGTCTGATTTTACGTTTAGCATTCATGGAATTGATTTTGCGCCGTTAAATGTGATGAATGAGAAAGAAGATATCTTTGTACTCGGGAGTTTCTTTCGTATAATACTCCAAAAGAAAAAACTTACAACCTTTTCTAGCGAAGACAGGGTTTAACTAAGAAGAATTTGAATGCATTGTTAAAAATAAAGTGTTTCTTAATAATTTCAATTGAATAAGAGAGTGTGTTGTATGAATGTATGAATGCAATCCGTGGACTACGGAGACAGGCTTCGGCAGCCATTGTTATTAGAAACTTTCAATA